CTTTGGGTACAGCTTTTGAAAGAACCTCTTTCATCTGCACCATCACAGAAGCTTTAAACTCCACTGCTTTAATATTATGAGCCATCGACCAAGAAATAAAGGGATTACATGATAGTATTTATAAAACTGGGCAGTAATTGATTATTTGCCATTATAACAAAAGGCAGGCTGTCATGAATTCCCTACAATGTGCTGCTTTAAGTTAAATGACAATTACGATAAGGTTAATTCTTACATTGACCAACTCCAAGAAGAAATTAACAAAATTAAGCTCATATCCTGGCAATGTTGGAGCTGGCCCTCATGGCTATCCTCATTCCTCAGTCAAATTGTTGTAATTATTCTTTGCATTCTTGGTTCCTGCATTTTAAGTCTTCTAAGCAAATGTACCTCTTCTCATTTATACAATTTCCAACCAAATGCTCATCTGGCCAACTTATTGCCACCTTCTCACAAATCTATCAGAGTCCCTGGACAGACTTCCCAGCAGCTGCATCTCCCTATCATTGACCCCTACCAGCAGGAAGTAGCTACATCTGGTCATGTCCAATGTTGCAGTGGCAGTTGGGATATCAGTCTGGAGTGGGAATTAAGGTCAATTCTGGTTAGGTAGAAGATGTAACAGAAGGGGAGTAAGGATGGGACTCTGAAAGGGGCAAAAAGACTAAAAAGCCAGTTAACCCACTTTGACTTAATGAAAACCACATTCTTCTCTTCCCTTTTATCCCTCTAGCCAAAATGAGCATTATACTTCATTAAGATAAAGCAATTGGAGTCAAGGGCCCAAAACCAAAAAACTCCTGGGTTTGGAATTTTAAATGATCATTTGTAATGGGAAGCACAAGCTACTAAGTTTAAAACAAATGGCCCACTAGACATGAATCATACATGGGGCTAAGAATAAACATGTCTCCTATCTAACAAATGCCTAATGGAATCAATAGGGACCATAATTAGAAACAGTAAGGGCACACATACCTTCAGCTCAGATGACCACCAGATGACCTCCAGGACCCACTCCTTCCCCTGAAAGGCCTTCTAAAAACTCAGACACCTGGACCTTCAAGGGGCTGGCTACTCATTTGAGAGCTCCCCCTTCACACCATGAAAGGCTTTTTCTTTCTTTCCTCACTGAATAAATTCTGCTTGCTTACCTACATTCATGTTTCTCATCCTTCATGAGCTGCTGACAAAAACCCATGTCCTGCTGCAGGTGCTGGGCCTGGTCACCCCTCGCAGGCCCTGCATTGTCCACATTCCTGGTTTATTGGAAAGATGCAAATGATCAACCAAATAAAGACATATATAGGGCAGCAAGATGTGGTGTGAGAGGCTAGAGTAAAGCTTCCATGTCTTCTTCAGGCAAACCATCCTCTCAGCACATTGATATTTTCACCAAACAGGAAGCTCACTGAGCCTCGCTTTTCCATGTTTTAATATAGGGTTTCATTATACGGACATGACTGATTAAATCATTGGCTCTGTGAAGAATCTCAATCTCTATTTCCTTTGCCCTCTTGGAAGATTGTAGGGGCTAAGGGGACAGGCTGAAAATTTCCACCTCTTATTCATGTGGTCAGTTTCTCTGGTGACTAGTCCCTTTTCTGAATCTATGTAGGCCTCCTATCCTTGTTGAGTGACTTCATTAACCAGTACTGAATATGCTCAAAGTGATTCATAATTAATGACAAAGATCCTTCCTCCCCATCACCAAGGTAATTACAAAAATTTTAGCAGTCCTATGTGAGGAACTGGGGACAGAGAGCAAATTCGTTTTTAATTGTACCTTGACAAGTGATAGGTGAAGGAATAAAGAGTCTGTGGGAAGGATTAGAGAACAATGGATGGGCTACAGAAGGTCAGAAGACCCCAGAATGGACAATTTATTTATTTATTTTTATTAACATTTAATCATTGTTCATCTTTACAGCATAGAGTATGGTTTTTCAAAACACACTGTTTTTCCGAGGGGACCCAGGGAACACATCAAAGGTAGCAGTAATGAAGAGCAAAGCTGGAGGGAATTAGAAATGTAAGTACTGTATTTCAAGAAGTGTGTAGGATTTATATAAGCAAGGAAACTAAACAAAACTACCAGAAGCTAAGGGAGGACTTAAAATAAGATAGATATATTAAGCAATATAACATTTACCTGGATAGACTGATTTAAGAGACAGATTTTCAGCTAAAATTAATTCTCTTAACCAAATTATAATCAAAATCTCACTAGTTATTTTTGGCTTTGCATAGTAATTAAAAATTCCATCTTGGGGCTAGCCCATGGTGTGTTGGTTAAGACAGCTGGAACCACATGACCAGCTGTCCAGTTCAAGTCCCAGGCATGATGGCTTGACAAGTACATTGGATGTGTGTACATGCACGAAGTACCAAAATGAGGGAAACAAGAAGGAGAAGGTATTAAAACATGACCACTCTCCACGGGGGACAGGGAGAGTGCTTTCTAACTTTTCCTCTTTCCAGTGAGAGCATGTACCCTGTGTGGGGAGAATTTATCTCAATTTAGAGGTAAATATTGCCAAGATAATACTGAAAAGGAAGAATAGGAGGGAACTTTGTAGCTGCAATGAGAATTTAAAAATATTTTATAGGTAAAAAATAATTCAAGAAATAGATCAACAGAATGGAAAACTCAGAATGAAGAATGGTCCTAAGTATTTAAGATCAGGTAAAGTGGCATTTTAACCTGATGAGAAGAGAGCGATTGTTTCATGCTAGTGAATAGCTACTTTGAAAATTCTTAGTGTTGGGAACCAGCAGTTAGCGTAATGGCTATGTCACTGGACTCCCACATAGTCGACCACGGTTCACATCCTGGACCCGGTGGCTTAAAACTCACGCCAGGAGTGTGTGCATGCATACCCAAGATCCCAAGAGAGGAGAATGGAGAAGGGATTGTGGCATGACCATCCCCCCTGGGGGGTGATTTCTCGCTTTCTGTCTCTATGTCTCTGTCAGGCGAGCGCATGGGCCATATAGTGAAAACCTCTCAAAAAAAA